CTTAAAGATGATTATCAATTAGCACCATTTGAAAAATCGATAAAATTTTGAGTTTTATAAGGTTCATCTTTAATTTGATATCCTCTTATTCCGTTGAGATTATTTTGTTAACATCGCTAATATATTTTTCTGGTAGAGAATTAAATTTAAAATCGAAAATAAAGAATAAAATTTTATCCTATTCCTTTTCATTCTTAAGATATTCCCTTCTAACTTCATTACTATCCGCGTTTTCAGCAAAAATTAAGACTTTACAAGCAAATATCTTAAGAACAAAGGATGATACGAAAAAATGTTATTCTTTCTTTTTGATTTAGAAATCTATTTTCTACATGATACAACAACGTTAAAAGGTAATAAATATCATCGGAATCATCAATAGGACTTGTTGCATGTTGAATCAAATTTCGGTTCTAAAAATAAAATATTTTGATGGCCTATATCATAAATACAACACCCACCTTTTTGTATTGAAATACAACTCCAAATAACAGGTTATATAACCCATTATATTCAAAGAGATTTTCGAATTTCTACCTGGAACGTTTTAAATCTGCAAAGCTAAGAAATGCAGTTCATCCCCCGAAAAAGATTTCAATGGAAAAAGCAATAATAGAAAGAAAGAAAAATGGGAGTGACATTTAGAATATTGAACTGGATATAAAACTAAAATTACCGTCTGTTATCGATTGAATGGAGAACGTAATTTCTATTTCCAGGATGTAGGTGCTGGGTTACGACATGTGTTCAATGCGAAAAGGAAAAAAGGACCGACGACGTAATTAGAAATGCGAAAATAGGGTTGTTATAAAAGAATAAAAGCGAACAGCTGGCGCCTTTTTAATAAAACACCTAATATAGTTCTCCCAATTTGAGATACAACCAATAATAGAATATTTTTGCTACGTTATAACTTAATGTTGCATTATGGGGTAGAAATTTAGGGTGCATATTTTCTTTTTTAACAAACAGGAATAAGTCGTGTTCCCATGAAGTGGAAGAGGATCTTTAAAACGTTGGGGATTATACATCTGGACAAATATTATCTCAAGCACAAGTTCTGTTTGTTTACTTTGAAATGTCGGGTTAACAGATAGTGTAAATATTCTAAGTGGGAAACTGTGATTCTATTAATAAAAGTATCATTAACTTGGTTATTTTCAAAAAATCATATCTTCATTCATTACGAAAACAAAGAAACGATTTATACCTCAAATTAAAACTAAAGATATCACCTTTCGAGCGGTTTGTAATCTATAATACATTTTGAGATAATAATTAATTAATGAAGTAATGTTTTTTCGATGTGTAAAAATTTGTTCGTTTTCAAAAAATCGTATCTTCATTAATTTTGAAGATAAAGAAATGATTTATATCTTAAATTAAAGCTAAAGATAACTTCTTACATGATGTATAACCACATTTATCCTTTTTCTGATGATATTTTGATTATAACCCATAATGTTCATGTTTCTCGAGAATAGTTATTTAAACATTAGCACTTCATGTAACTTGAAAATTAAAAGCGGCGGAGGAAAACTTTTTTAAGATAAATTGTTAATAATGAACCATAAAATTATAATGTATCCACTATTTCAATCCATACGTTGCTATTTCTGGTTTACAACCCAAGAAGCAAATGAAAATTTGACCGTTGTAAAGTAAATATTTATTTGAGCAGCTCTTATTTCGTTTAGCCCATTTTTTCAGAAACTTTAATTTGCTTTTCTAGTAGAAAAATAAATTTTAAATCGAATGTAAAGAGTAAGATTTTATCTTATCTCTTTTCATTCTTGAGATTTTCCCTTTTAAATTTATTACTATTCGCGTTTTTTAGTAAAAATTAAGACTTTAAAGGCAAATATCTTAAGAACGAAGGATGATTCGAAAAAACTTTATTCTTCCTTTTTGATTTAAAAATCATCTTTTTACAGAATTAACTTATTAGTTTTATGTTAAAGTTGATTATTATTAAACACCAATTGAAAAATCGAAAAAAATTTGAGTTTTATAAGGTTAATTTTTATTTAATCTCTTCTCATTACGTTTAGATTATTTTATTAAAGTTGTTTATACATTTTTTTAATAGAGAATTAAATTTAAAATCGAAAATAAAGTATAAAATTTTATCATATTCCTTTTCATTCTTGAGATATTTCCTTTTAAATTAATTACATTCGAATTTTTAACAAAAAGTAAAACTTTGAAAGCAAATATCTTGAGAACGAAGAATGATTCGAAAAAACTTTATCCTTCCTTTTTGATTTAAAAATCATTTTTTTACACAATTAACTTATTGGTTTTATGTTAAAGTTGATTATTTTTAAACACCATTTGAAAAATCGATAAAATGTTGAGTTTTATAAAGTTAATTTTTATTTAATCTCTTCTCATTACGTTTAGATTATTTTATTAAAGTTGTTTATACATTTTATTAGTAGAGAATTACATTTAAAATCGAAAATAAAGAATAAAATTTTACCCTATTCCTTTTCATTCTTGAGATATTTCCTTTTAAATTACTTACATTCCTATTTTTAACAAAAAGTAAGAATTTAAAGGTAAATATCTTGAGAACAAAGAATGCGAAAAAACTTTATTCTGCACTTTTGATTTAAAAATCATTTTTTTACACAATTAACTTATTGGTTTTATGTTAAAGTTGATTATTATTAAACACCATTTGAAAAATCGATAAAATTTTGAGTTTTATAAGGTTAATTTTTATTTAATCTCCTCCCATTACGTTTAGATTATTTTATTAAAGTTGTTTATATATTTTTCTAGTAGAGAATTAAATTTAAAATCGAAAATAAAGAATAAACTTTTATCCTATTCCTTTTCATTCTTGAGATATTTCCTTTTAAATTAATTATTATTAGTATTTTTAACAAAAAGTAAAACTTTAAAAGCAAATATTTTGAGAACGAAGGATGATTCGAAAAAACTTTATTCTTCCTTTTCGATTTAAAAATCATTTTTTTACACAATTAACTTATTGGTTTTAAGTTAAAGTTGATTATTATTAAACACCATTTGAAAAATCGATAAAATTTTGAGTTTTATAAGGTTAATTTTTATTTAATCTCCTCTCATTACGTTTAGATTATTTTATTAAAGTTGTTTATATATTTTTCTAGTAGAGAATTAAATTTAAAATCGAAAATAAAGAATAAAATTTTATCCTATTTTGTTTCATTCATGAGATATTTCCTTTTAAATTAATTACATTCGTATTTTTAACAAAAAGTAAAACTTTAAAAGCAAATATCTTGAGAACGAAGGATGATTCGAAAAAACTTTATTCTTCATTTTCGATTTAAAAATCATTTTTTAATATAATTAACTTATTGGTTTTATGTTAAACTTGATTATTATTAAACACCATTTGAAAAATCGATAAAATTTTGAGTTTTATAAGGTTAATTTTTATTTAATCTCCTCCCATTACGTTTAGATTATTTTATTAAAGTTGTTTATACACTTTTCTAGTAGAAAATTAAATTTAAAATCGAAAATAAAGAATGAAATTTTATCCTACTCCTTTTCATTCTTGAGATATTTCATTTTGAATTAATTACTGTTCGTATTTTTAACAAAAAGTAAAATTTTAAAAGCAAATATCTTGAGAACGAAGGATGATTCGAAAAAACTTTATTCTTCCTTTTTGATTTAAAAATCATTTTTCTACACAATTAAGTTATTGGTTTTATGTTAAAGTTGATTATTATTAAACACCATTTGAAAAATCGATAAAATTTTTAATTTTATAAGGTTAATTTTTATTTAATCTCCTCCCATTACGTTCAGATTATTTTATTAAAGTTGTTTATACATTTTTCTAGTAGAGAATTAAATTTAAAATCGAAAATAAAGAATGAAATTTTATCCTACTCCTTTTCATTCTTGAGATATTTCATTTTGAATTAATTACTATTCGTATTTTTAACAAAAAGTAAAACTTTAAAAGCAAATATCTTGAGAACGAAGGATGATTTGAAAAAACTTTATTCTTCATTTTCGATTTAAAAATCATTTTTTTATATAATTAACTTATTGGTTTTATGTTAAACTTGATTATTATTAAACACCATTTGAAAAATCGATAAAAGTTTGAGTTTTATAAGGTTAATTTTTATTTAATCTCCTCCCATTACGTTTAGATTATTTTATTAAAGTTGTTTATTGATATTTTTAGTAGAGAATTAAATTTAAAATCGAAAATAAAGAATAAAATTTGATCCTATTTCGTTTCATTCTTGAGATATTTCCTTTTAAATTAATTACATTCGTATTTTTAACAAAAAGTAAAACTTTAAAAGCAAATATCTTGAGAACGAAGGATGATTCGAAAAAACTTTATTCTTCCTTTTTGATTTAAAAATCATTTCTCTACACAATTAACTTATTCATTTTACGTTAAAGTTAATTATTATTAAACACCATTTGAAAAATCGTTTACAAATTTTAGTTTTATAAGATTAATTTTTATCCAATTAATTTTAAATTATTTTAAAATCGAAAATAAAGAATGAGATTTTATCCTATTTCTTTTCATTTTTGAGATATTTCCTTTTAAATTAATTACTATTAGAATTTTTTTGAAAAGTTAAGTCTTTAAAGGTGAATATCTTAAGAACGAAAGTTAATAGGATAAAATTTTATTCTTTCTTTTCGATTTAAAACCAATTTTTCTAAACGACTAATTAATTTCCTTTTCTAAGAAAGTTCAACTTACCTCCGATTTAATCATTTAATCACCTCGTTAACTAATTCACTTGGGATTAAAGTTTTTGGGACGTTTGATTTTGGGCTTTTAATCGCACTGAATGAAACACATCCGAATATATCATCGTACTCTCACATTTTTATTGTTTCGTCAAGTTACGTAGGAAAAAATATACAAAAAAAAATTTATATATTTACAAAATAATAGCAGGAATTACGATTTTTTTAAAATAAAAAAACTAGAAAAACAAATAAATATAAAAAGTATTTACAAAAAAATAATAATTATTATAATATACACAAATAGCCGAGGTTATTAGTCTTTAGGTTTTTTTTTTTAATTAATTAATTCTTTGAATCAATTTTTTTATTATAATAATGAAAGATTGATTTTTTTTTCCTTTTTTAAAAATTAATTATTATTAAGTCTTTGAGTAAAAACTAGTCAGTCAATTTTTCGTTATCGAAAAAATGATATCACACGAGGTAAGCTTGACCTGTTCCGCCAGAATTTGGATGCATCATATGGGGCCTCCATGGGGGTCCCCGCCTCCCGGATGGCCCCCTCTCCAAGGTGCTATAATCCGAATCTATACTCGAATATATATGATCCGATAACGGTCTCGGTTCTTGTGGTGTCCTCCTCGACGGTCTTGGAGATGGTGTGGCCGTCGTCGCCGAAGAATAATTAGCCTCATCATGTTCGTGAGCCATCGCGGTCATATAAGCTGGAGGAAACATCCCGGGTGATGGTGGAGGAGGGTTTTTAACTTTCTCCGGGTAATTATGATGGTTATGAGTCCCATTCGCAACCACCACTCTACTTTCTATCGTATAATTGTTAATATTCCTTCGGTAATTCGCGTTAATTTTCCCTCGAGTTTCCACCGAAGGCATTGCATAACGCAATTTCTCCCAAAACCTTTTTTCCCCCCATTGAATTCGATGCCCCGTTTTAAGATACGGTCTTAATTCGGGATCGAGTTCGGCTTCTGGTAAGGGACCCTCTTCTAAAATTACCAGCTTAAAAACTCTTCCTTTTAAAGCTTCGTGAATCGCCTGGCGAAGCTCGAACCTTGACCACTCAGTTTGCAAGAAATTCCTTGTTAAGATCATAATAACACGTCGGCTTGCATCCGCGTGTTCTAAAAGTGCGGGGGCGGCGTGTTGGAGATAAGCGGTGTGGGGGATGTCCCGATAATGGAGACACAACTGGAAGTTATCCAACCCGGCCGCTAAAGATTGGACGACCCATTCTTCGTCTTTCGGGGAATAACACACGAATCCGTCGTAAAGTTTATCGCGATCCTCGAATTGTTTCGCGGTTAAATTACATAATCTTACCCCGTATTTGGAGTACAACCACACTCTTATCGTGTCTCTGAAGATGAACCACAAAATTAGGAACACTAAAAGTAAAATTACCACGCACATAACCACAACAGCCATTGGTAAATAGTCCGAAATTAACATACTGTCTATTACCGAATTACCAACATAATCACTACACGCCGTCGAATTAAAGTCTAATTCACGTCTTTGAGATGGTTTCGAATCGGTGTTATAACACATCACATCGGAGGAATCTAAAACTTTCGGGGCGTTATCCACGATCCATGCGGTGAATTCTTGGAGGAATTTGCATCGGCACGACCATTGATTCCCCCCGATTGATAACTCGGTTAAAAACGCGTTTTGAGTTAATTGCCAAATTGGGAATGACGTTAATTTATTCCCATCGAGGCGCAAAATCTCTAAAGATCGTAACGAAGAAAACGTGTTATTCCCAATAAAATTAATCTTATTATTTTGGAGATATAACTCTTTGAGATGACCCAAATGCTCAAATTCGTACCCTTTTAACTCATAAATGTTGTTATCGTCTAAATGCAACATTTGTAGCGCGTTTAACCCGTTAAAAGTCCGATTTTGAATCGTTTCAATTCGGCTGTTATTCGCGTATAGAACTCGCATGTTTTTTCGGCCGATAAAGACGTGATTTTGGAGCTCTTTGATGTTGTTGCCGTCGAGGTAGAGTTCGGTGACGTCCATGGGGATTCTTTGGGGGATTTCGTTGGCGTTTTGTCTGGAGCAATCGACGACGTTTGTGTTCCAAGTTTCGTCTTGGTAGCAAGAACAATTTTGGGGGCAGGTCATTTCGCAGTCGCAAGCGTCGAAATCGCAACAATGGCAAAGAGCGAAACAATGAGTTTCGTAGGTGCATAAAAAATCGGATGGTTTCGCCCTTGATAAAGGCATGTGAGTCATCCCTCGAGAATGCGTCATCCTGCACATTACGTTGTCTAAATCCATGATTTTTGGGTATTGTTTTGCTTGGGTCATGTTGTTGATTCTTTGGAGCCACTCCATGGTGCAGTCGCAATGAAAGGGGTTTCCCCCCAAATAAATTTCTGGGAGGGTTTTATTCGAGTATGGGGAGAGTCTTAAAGCGTTTATGTCTAAGTTGATTAATTCATTTGCGTACATGTCGACTCGCACTAAATTTGGTTTGTCGTAAAAAGTGTTTGGATTCACCGTTTTGATTAAATTGTTGTTAATAAAGAGTAACTCAACACTATTTGGGATCGATAAAGGTGAAATCTCCGTGATTCGATTATGACTCGCATCTAAAGTTTTAACCCGAATCTCCTCTTGTATCTTGTAATAATTCGCCAAATGCTCGATGAAATTATTATGGATATCTAACCACTTCAAATTACTCGGAATAAAAGCATAATCGAACCACACCAAATGATTCTCAGACAAATTTAGCCATAACAAACTCGCCAAGCTCGCAAAAACCCCATTAATATCCGTCAAAAAATTCTCATCCAATCTAATCGCCTCGATCAAAGTATTTGTGTCAAAAGTCCCTCTTTCGATACTTTGAATCTTATTTTTGGCCAAATTCAAAACTTGCAAAGATCTCAAATCCCAAAACATCCCCTTACTCAAATTCCCAATATTATTATCAATCAACCTCAACCCCGTTAATTGATCCAAATTCTTAAAAGTCCCATTTTTAAAGTCACTAATTTGATTTTCCCCCAAATCCAAATTTTTTAAAAACGTCAACTCTCGAATCGCATCCGGGACTTGTTGCAAAGCATTCGAGCTTAAATCCAACTCCTTCAAATCGGAGCAATTTTGGAAAGCTTTCGAATCAACGTTAACAATCAAATTATTATTTAGAGTTAATTTACTTAACACGAATAATCCGTTAAAAAGAGACCCCCCGATGGTGTTTAAACGATTTTCGGCCAAATTCAAAGTGTGCAAATTATAAAGTGGTAAAAAAGCGTTATCTTCGATGAACCCAATCGAGTTATTCCTCAAATCTAAAATTTGCAAAAAGAATAAATCTTTGAACGTTTTTCCATCGATTCGGGTCAAAGCGTTATGGGATAAATTCAAAATAATTAAGCGAATTAATCCTGTAAAAGTTGATGAGTCGATGTGGCCACTAGTTAATTGGTTCCCCGATAAATCCAAGACGATTAATTGTTCTAATCGGTGAAAAACCCCTTTTGCAAGAAACATCAAAGTATTATTTTGGAGATGAATTTCGCGCAATTCGCGACACGCCGCGAATAAACCTTCCGGTAACGTCTCAACATTATTATTCGACAAGTTCACAACCCGCAAAGAAGTTAATCCAACTAAAGCTTCACCCGAAATATCACTAATATTATTATAATCCAATCGGAGTTCTTGTAAACGTCTCAAACGCGCAAATCCCGACATTTCCGGCAATGTTCTTAACTCATTATGCGACAAATCTAAAATTTGAAGATCACTACTTGGGCACGAATTACTCCGGGACGAAGAATTTCCAAATCCTAATCTTTCAGAGGTTCTGATACGATTTTGAGTTAAATTTAGAGTTTTTAAATTGGGTAAAGTGCAAAAACTCGTTTCTGGGATCCCCCTTAAATTGTTATAACTCAAATTTAAAATTTGAAGTTCTTTAAGTCCAGAAAAAGACATCGAAGTTAATTCTAAGCTTTTCCCCCAATCGTTATTGTGGGATTTAATCGTTAATTTTTTTAAATTTCCCATCCCCTCGAATGTGTTTGATTCTAAATGGAGGATTTTGCAACTTTCCACGAAAAATTCTTGGAGGTCGTGTAATTTTTTGATGGAGTTCGATGGTAGGTAACTTTCAAAGTACACTATATCACTGCATTTGATCCGTAATTTCGAAATTCCATCCGACGGTAAACCGTTGAGGTGATTTCCGGTCGCGTCTAAACTTCGAAATCGACAATTAATCGCGAGTTTTGTTGTTGAAGTGTTATTGTTGTCCGGTAACCAATTGCACTCGTTGCTCGAACTTGCACTTCCGGTGATGCTTTCGTTTCTTGCTACTCCCATCGATGCTGAGATCAAAACCAAGCAGAAAAATCGAAATTTTTTAACCAACATTTTCTTTTCTTTTTAATTAAATAAAAAATAACTTTAAAATTTATAAAGATTTTTGTGTTGGTGTTGAATTTTTTTTTGAACTTTTTCACGTTAGGGACATTTCGCGAATGACTCGTTGGTCTTTCATTTCACGATCGCACGCTTAAAATGTTTCGAGGACCTTTACGGAGTTGCCTCGAACCTTTCTAGCGCGATACTGAAGACTTCCCAACAAACTAACAGTATTTACCACTGTCCGAGTGCTTTGGATGGAGCGCAAGCGCTGGGTTAATTCGACGCGGCGACGCAATCCGGGAGGGCAGCACCGTACAGACAAAGTATTAATTCACAAGTAAACACAAAAATATTTCAGTTTTGTAACAAAGAATTCATCCAAATCGTGATTTCTTTAAAACTTTACTTATATTTAAAATTAATTAACCTAAAAATGAAAGAATTCAATGTGTTAATTAATTAATTAACTTTGATTATGTCCTTTTGCTTCGTTATAAACAATTTATATCTACAACATTTTTCTTCACCAGCTTTAATTTTTTAATTATAACCGATTTTAATAATGAAAATCAAATATGTTAATAAACTATGTATGGAATATACTATATATTTCGGTAAATATTGACTTTACTTATACAAAAGTTGTATAATATTTTATTTACCATATTAAACTGCATTAAATTGTTTTTAATTAGTAACGAATAACACTAGAATTTTTTTAAATGGCGATGTATGCTTTCGTCAAGCTCATGTGATATAGATTTCTTTTCTTTTTATGGTGACGTAAAATATTTGTACCTTTACATCAGAAAATTTTTGAAAAAAGTGTTAAAATTGTTTATTAAGAAGCAATTTCGGTCTATCTAGATTAATGTCATTGGTTAAATTTTCTCAATAAACATTGCGATTTATAACAATTTAAGTGTTATTCGTTGCTCATTTGTTTTCTGAAATAAAAACAATTAAATAATGTCTTATTATGGTAAATAAAATATAAAACAACTTTTTGTATAAAATGTTTTTTTATACAGATGATACTTACCAAGATATATACTATATTCCATACATAATGGGCACCCTGTATTGATTTCTACATAATATGTGGAATATGATTATAGCTAAGTTAAATCTGAAGCTAGATTCTATCTTTTTCATTCTTTATAAACAAATTATGTATAAACTTTTTTTCTCTAATAATTTTAATTTTTGTGTTATGATTGACTTAATTAACAAAGGTTACAATTTCGTTTAATTTTGTCTTTTTCGATTTTTTCTTAATATTTATGCATCTGAGAGCAAAAGTATAAAAGAGCAAGATTGTTAAAAATAAAGTTTGCTACAACTTTTATACTAAAACTTTTTTTCTAAAACATTCCGAATCCATTGCACTACCAACAACAATATGAAAAACCACAATTTCAACTAATTTTCACTTTTTTAACATTTTCTCGATATTTATGCATCTGAGAGCAAAAGTGTAAAGTAGCAAAATTGTTAAAAATAAAGTTTGCTACAACTTTTATACTAAAACTTTTTTTCTAAAACATTCCGAACCTTTTGCACTATTAACAACAATATGAAAAGCCACAATTTCGTCTAATATTAACTTTTCTAACATTTTCTCGATATGTATGCATCTAAGAGCAAAAGTGTAAAAAAGCAAAATTGTTAAAAATAAAGTTTGCTACAACTTTTATACTAAAACTTTTTTTCTAAAACATTCCGAACCTTTTGCACTATTAACAACAATATGAAAAGCCACAATTTCGTCTAATATTAACTTTTCTAACATTTTCTCGATATGTATGCATCTAAGAGCAAAAGTGTAAAAAAGCAAAATTGTTAAAAATAAAGTTTGCTACAACTTTTATACTAAAACTTTTTTTCTAAAACATTCCGAACCTTTTGCACTATTAACAACAATATGAAAAACAACAATTTCATCCAAATCGTGATTTATTTCAACTTTACTCACATTTACTGATATTTAAAATTAATTAATCTAAAAATGAAGGAATTCAATGTATTAATTAATTAAATTAACTTTGATTATGTCCTTTTGCTTTATTATAAACAATTTATATCTACAACATTTTTCTTCATCAGCTTTAATTTGTTAATTATAACCGACTTTAATAATGAAAATCAAATATGTTAATAAATTATGTATGGAATATACTATATATTTCGGTAAATATTGACTTTACTTATACAAAAGTTGTATAATATTTTATTTACGTAAAATATTCATCAGAAAATTTTTGAAAAAAGTGTTAAAATTGTTTATTAAGAAAATGGTTCTTGATTGGAAAGAGGTACTTGACAATTTCTATCTATCTAGATTAATGTTATTGGTAAAATTATCTTAATAAACAGTGTGATTTATAATAATTTAACTGTTATTCGCTGCTCATTTGTTTTCTGAAATAAAAGCAATTAAATAGTGTCTTATTATGGTAAGTAAAATATTAAACAACTTTTGTATAAAATGTTTTTTTATACAGTTGATATTTACCAAGATATATACTATATTCCATATATAATGGGCACCCTGTATTGATTTCTACATAATATGTGGAATATGATTATAGCTAAGCTAAATCTGAAGCTAGATTATATCTTTTTCATTCTTTATAAACAAATTATGTGTATTAATTTTTGTGTTATAATTGACTTAATTAAGAAATATTATTTTTCGAAACCTGCTATTAAAAGTTGACTTTTGCGTAGTACTACGCTTTTGTAACTTATGACGTATTCTCCTGATGATGCTATAACAAATAGCGAAACCGGTAGAGAAATAATTAAAATAAAAATCCATTTGAAGTGCGAAAACGGACTTTTATTAATTTTATAAATTTTACTCGATATTTATGCATGACAACAAAATTGTAAAGAAGCAAAATTGTTAAAGATAAAGTTTGCTACAACTTTTATACTAAAACTTTTTTTCTAAAACATTCCGAATCCTGTGCACTATTAACAACAATATGAAAAAAAAACTATTTTATCTAATTTTCACTTTTTTTGAATATTTCTCGATATTTATGCATCTGAAAGCAAAAGTGTGAAATAGCAAAATTGTTAAAAATAAAGTTTGCTACAACTTTTGTACTACAACTTTTTTTCTAAAACGATCCGAATCTCTTACACTATTAACAACAATATGAAAAACAACAATTTCATCTAATTTTCACTTTTTTTTGAATATTTCTCGATATTTATGCATCTGAGAGCAAAAGTGTAAAAGAGCAATATTGTTAAGAACAAAATTTGCTACAACTTTTATACTAAAACTTTTTTTCTAAAACCATCCAAATCCTTTGCACTATTAACAACAATACGAAAAACCACAATTTCATGTAATTTTCAATTTTTTGAATTTTTTTCGATATTTATGCATCTGATAGCAAAAGTGTAAAAGAGCAAAATTGTTAAAAAAAATGTTTGCTACAACTTTTATACCAAAACTTTTTTTCTAAAACATTCCGAATCCTTTGCACTATTAACAACAATATGAAAAGCCATAATTTCATCCAATTTTCACTTTTTTGAATATTTCTCGATATTGATGCATCTGAGAGCAAAAGTATAAAAGAGCAAAATTGTTAAAAATAAAGTTTGCTACAACTTTTATACTAAAACTTTTTTTCTAAAACATTCCAAATCCTTTGCACTACCAACAACAATATGAAAAACCACAATTTCATCTAATTTTCACTTTTTTTAATTTTTCTCGATATTTATGCATAACAACTAAATTGTAAAGGAGTAAAATTGTTAAAAATAAAGTTTGCTGCAACATTTATGCCAAAACTTTTGTTCTAAAACGTTCCGTATCCTTTGCACTATTAACAACAATGTCAAAAACAACAATTTCATTTAGTTTTCACTTTTTTTGAATATTTCTCGATATTTATGCATCTGAGAGCAAAATTGTTAAAAATAAAGTTGTAGCAAACTTTATTGTAGTTACTTTTGTACTAAAACTTTTTTTCTAAAACGATCCGAATCTCTCACACTATTAACAACAATATGAAAAACAACAATTTCATGTAATTTTCACTTTTCTTGAATATTTCTCGATATTTATGCATCTGAGAGCAAAAGTGTAAAAGAGCAAAATTGTTAAAAATAAAGTTTGCTGCAACATTTATACCAAAACTTTTTTTCTAAAACGTTCCGAATCCTTTGCACTATTAACAACAATATGAAAAGCCACAATTTCGTCTAATATTAACTTTTTTAACATTTTCTCGATATTTATGCATCTGAGACCAAAAGTGTAAAAGAGCAAAATCGTTAAAAATAAAGTTTGCTACAACTTTTATGCTAAAACTTTTTTTCTAAAACATTCCGAATCCTTTGCACTATTAATAATATGAAAAACCACAATTTCATCTAACTTTTACTTTTTAAAATTTTTCTCGATATTTATGCATCTGACAACAAAAATATAAAAGAGCAAAATTGTTAAAAATAAAGTTTGCTACAACTTTTATACTAAAACTTTTTTTCTAAAACATTCCGAACCTTTTGCACTATTAACAACAATATGAAAAGCCACAATTTCGTCTAATATTCACTTTTTTAACATTTTCTCGATATTTATGCATCTGAGAGCAAAAGTGTAAAAGAGCAAAATTGTTAAAAAAAATGTTTGCTACAACTTTTATACTAAAACTTTTTTTCTAAAACGTACCAAATCATTTGCACTGTTAACAACAATGTGAAAAACCACAATTTCATCTAATTTTCACTTTTTAAAATTTTTCTGGATATTTGTGCATGACAACAAAATTGTAAAGGAGCAATATTTTTAAGAATAAAATTTTCTGCAACCTTTCTACTAAAATTTTCTTTCCACCAGTGTTAATTATTGAGTTAATCACATTCAGTATCGGAAAACAACAATTTTAGTATTTTGGGGAACTTCACTTTCTAACTAGAATACGATCATATCTAAACTGAATCTAGTTATATATAATATCGTTTTGGTTCTATACAAACAAATTATATGTAAAATATTGTTATCTATTGCTCTTAATTCTCGAGTTATCATCGACTTCAGTAACGAAATTCAACGATTTTAATATGTTGTGGATTTACAATTTGTAGCTAAAAAATAGTTGCATCTAAGTGGAATCTGGTTATGGCTTATGCCTTTTTGGTTCTATACAAACAATTTGTAAACAAAATATTTTG